TATATTGTATGATTAAGAACTACTGACCTTTGCGTTTTGCATGTTATCTAGTGTGAATCTCCCTCAGTGTCATAAGAGGGCCTGAGATAAGTCAAAGTGTCAGACTGACGATAGACAAGAGTCCCGCGAATGATGCGCCCCGCTGCAACTGTGATCGCAGACGTGTTACGCCCCCATCAACGTAATTTAGATCATTTAAGGGGCGGACTGCTTCCACCCTGCCTATCAGGGTCAATCAATCCGGACTGCGTGGAACGTATACAGCATCCGAGCACAATGCTGGTTATACTCAATAAAATATCTTCCCATTAGGGAGCCAAATTCGTGTCTATTTTGTGCAAGACCGACAGCCCAATCAATACTTGCAATCAGACAGCAATGCGCCTTTCTGTAACAAATTTTGTCAAGGTGTCCTTTTAGAGACTCGAAATGGACGGCAAATTTAGCCACTTTTTTCGATCCCCTTGATTTAGAGTTCAAAGATATCGATAGCCGCGCCAAAAACTCAGGTGGTAAACTGAGCCACTTTTTTACCTGTCGTATCGTATTTTACTTATGGGATGTTACCCTTTTTAGTATGCAGTTCAAAAATAGCGTTTACTCCCTATATTCGGTCAATAATGTTTCGTATTCCACACAAATCCACTCTCAGTTTTCGCCGCGCCAGCGTTGCGACCCTGCCTTGGAGTAGTGTAAAGGCATTTCATTTCGATTCTTTTCAAATATTTTAACGCGGTAAGCAGATGTATAAGCTGAAGTTTAACAAACAAAAAAGAAAAATAGGTACGTTAATTAAGGAGGAGGCTTCTATCAGTCGTTCTTGTGTTTAAAGTTCAGTTCTAAATACGAAAGGGAAGCCAGGAACGGAGCAATGTTCAGTTCTCTGTAACGGCAGGACAAAAGGCTGACAACAAGTTATCGATACCCAGTTAGACCGAGTATAGAAAAGTGATTAAGTTTACCAGCCCTAAGGAAGCGGCGAATTAACTTCACAAATGACGTAACTGAATTCAAGTGGCTATCAGTTTTCCAATAGGCGACTCGGTACAATATTCATCATATCACGTTAGATACATAAAGGGACCAAAATAACATTGAAAAGAAAAAAAAGAAGGAAATACCAACACAAGGAGCGCCCATTAACCATCAGCATGCGGCTGAACAAAGTTTGCGAAATATTGTTATATATCTCTTGTTTGTTTTAGTGTTTTACGGCACTTGTAACACAATAGGGTCATATAAGTGCCAAAGATTAGAGGTGTTACAAGAGAGTAACAAACACAAAAAAGAAGGAGGCGAGATAAAGACGATAGGTGTTGGATAGGAAAGAAGAAGCAAAGCACACCAAAGCACCTGCGAACCACCCACTGTTATACATCTCTATAGGGGTGCACATGATAACCTATGTCCTACGCACGACGCCATTCAACATCAGAATTCTTTGCAAACTTCTGATTCTTTACAAGCTTTCGACGTCGAATGACGAAATACAGTGCCAGTAGAACACGTCGTCTTCGACAAAGTGGCTTCGTGTGCTCACCCAGGTAAATGTTAAAAAGTGGTACACTCACGGTTAGTTTATGAGTCATACAGCCAAAGCAGAATCTGAGTCTGGTGTTGAACGTTACGGCGCTATCGACACGATCCGGTCATGCAGGCGCCAGGTAGAGAGAATCAGTTGGACGAGGAAGACTCTGAAAAACATAATAAAGGAGAAATAAAAATCAAAACAGATATTCTTCGCTAAAAACTCAGCTACGCTGATTGCAAAAATAAATCTTCATCGTTATAATGTGTACGACCACACCATGAGCCAAAATAATAAGATGCAAGTCATACAAAAAAGAACAAAACATTGACAACAACCACAATCATAACAACAACAAAAACTCCCACTAAGATAATAAGCAAAATGCCTCTATCGTGGTACACAGCAAAATAAATAAAATCAATGGCAGCAAAGACCACACATGTGACTGCGACAAAGACTGAACATTTTGAAATTCACGGTAAGTCTCAATTATGAGCCATGGACGACGCCCCTCGCAGGCACACTCCGCCTTTCTGCAGTCGAGGTCGTTTAAAAAGGATGGAAAGTCCCGCTGGCAAATATTCGACACATTCCCGATTTAGCAGGATCTAGCATTCTGGGTAGATGACATAGATAAGTTCGAGACAAAACCAATCTGCAACCGCGGGACATGGTTCTCCCAAGGTCAGCAGTATTTTGTCTCAGTCTAAGTCGAATGTGAAGACACAGACAGTGACAACAGCAACGCCAGAAAGAAGTAGGAGGAAAAGGCCACATCAGAGAGATCACCATCGAATGGCACACATAATTTTATATAAAATATACTCTAATGTAAGCGAGACAAAACATAAGTCTACAAAAAAGGATTTAATTACAATTGGAACGAAGCATTTTAAGCAGTTGACTACTACAGAAGTAATACTATTTAAAAAATAATAGAGATACAGTAGCATTATCAATAATCGCAGCATCACGATGAAACGAAAATTACAACGAAGACAATAGCGACAAAACAGGCACAACATAAACAAACAACAAACAAACAACCCCCCCCCCCCTTCCTCAGCAAAATATTGAAACAACAGCAAAGACAACAATAGCAGCAACACAAGGAACAACAGCAACCAACACAACTACGACGTCAACAGCATCAACAACAACATCAACAACAACACCAACAACAACAGTAGTGTGCAGAAATCACTAAAGCTTTCTCCCTGGACGCAGACAAGCCCAGAATCCTGACAGCACGAGGCAAAAGCGCCGCATTGGACGTGCGCCCAGATCGATACAAGATTACAGACATTACTGCTACCCTCCACCCGAGGACACGTGACACAGCCAACAGTGAAAATCAAAGTAAACGGAGACGAAAAGGCAGAATTCCATCATAAAAACCCGACAGACAGGGGAGTTTCGATCGCCCAGAGTCGTTCGAAGGCGACAATACTTACAATGTGCACACAACGCCAATGAGGAGCAGAGAAAAGGGATTGCCACATCAAGGCAATATCATGTGAGCTATTCTCGTGTCGCCTTAATGTTAACAGAATTACTCTAAGTAACAAACACGTCCTCTCCTTTCCCCGTTTGCATATGTACAGCAAGAATTACAATTAAAATCGCAATGGTGTAATATATTCTGAAATAAACACACCCTGTGTCAAATGCACGCAACTATTTTCAATACGAGTATCGAATCCGGGTTGTATGGCTGTATGAAACCTTGTCAAGGAACCCCGTTCTATCCATCGGAAATCAGCGTTAATTTAGAAGACCCAAGTTTCAATATGAAGTTTACATAGCTTTAACACCAAGCTCAAACCGGCGCTTTCAACCCCCC